CAGCCTGGTCTACAAAGCCAGTTCCAAGACAGGCTCTGAAGCTACACAGAGATATCCCGTCTCAAAAAAAAAAAAAAAAAAAAAAAAGAGAGAGAGAGAGAGAGAGAATGCCATTCTCTGATGGATGGGGCAGAGAAAAGGAGAGTCAATTGAGCTGAGTACCACATAGCCTGGTATGAGGCTGAATCACACTGCATCCTTACAAGTACCTGAGTACGGGTACATTGTCCTGCTCACCCTCTACACCAGGAAAATGAGGCCCGAAGAGGAAGAGTGACTGTCCAGAGCCACAGAGCCCATGTTTGAAGTCAGGCTTGTCTGGCTCTGAACACTTTCCCCTGCCACTCTTCCTGTGTGTACTGTCTGAGTCTGCTGAGGCCGACCTAGGGCCTCCCCTGGGCTGGCCCTGGGAGGGTGGGGGCTGCAGGCAGACCCAAGTCTCCGCTGCTAGAAGAATTGCTGGAAACGGCTTTCTATAAGTGGCTCCTAGTACTCACGGCCTCTTCACCGAAATCCCGCTTTCCCGACACCAACCACTGGGCTAACAATGGCATCTAAGGGATAGCTGGTACAAAAATAGCAATTGATCTCCCATCCACCCACTCAGGGAGAAAATGAGGCAGCCCATGCTGTCGGGCCTGGGGGCAAGGAGCTGGCACACATATCATCCTGGCTGGGCCTCAAGATACCCAGGAGCCCATCCTGGAAGTGGGCAGCCCACGCTGAGTGCTGGCAGGCCCCTTCCTTTCCCTCTCAGGGGATGAAAGAAGGAAATCAGCATGCGTGCAAATGACCACCATGGTGAGTCAGGGTGGAGGAGAAGGGACATGTTTACTGTGGAAACCGTGGCTGAATTTTTCTGGTAACTGGTAGTCACCAACTGGATCTGGGAGCACAGAACCCCTGGGAACCCTGCTTTTCAGCCTGCCCATGTTCCCACAGTGCTCACTATGACCCTGGCTGGTGACTGTCCCACTTTGGGCCTCGGTTTCTCTTAGCACCACTCCTCTGTAGGGAAGGTCCGGGTGACAGCAGAGTGACGGGTTTGCGTTGTTAATTCTGGGAAGAATTGCTGAGACTTGTTACAACTATCCAAAAATCTCAGCCTCTTGACCCCTGGTCCCCTGAAACATGACCATGCTCTGATCTCTGCTTCCTCTTCTTCACTTCCTCTAGCCAGAGCTCCTCTTGATCTTGGCTTCCAGCCCTTTCCTGCTCCCATTTCACAGATGAGAAAAGGGAGGCACTGAGGGATAGGAGCTATCATCACGCAGCTGCAGGGTCGATGCCCAGGAGACTCTCCTGCTCACAGTTCCAGCTGCTGTAGCCCCCTGGCATCCTCCCAGGATGGTATAGCATCGCCTCCTTGTCTGCGTATGTCTCTCGACATAGCCTGCCCAACTACTGAACTCACCTATTTGTTATATGTGTGTCTTGAAGTCTCCCCTCCAGAGGGGCATGGACGGAGTTGGCGGCAGTCTGGGTTAGGGGGAGGCAGAAAAGGACACACTCTTGGATTGCTGCTGGGTGGTCAAGGGCTGTGGGCTCAAACGTAGTCTGACGTGTGCTAGGCTATTGATTCCACAGCCTCTCTGAGTGATTCCCACTCTAATGCCTCTGTTTCCACATCTGTAAGCTGGGAGAATACAGAGTGGTAGCATTAATTCAGTTGGACCATGACACACAGTTACAGGCACGCAGTTGTAGTCCAGCTGAAATGACAAGTTTCAGGTTCTGTGAGAGAACCTGTCTCTAAAGAAAACATAGACACACAACTGTGAAGCCATCCTGTGCTGTTTGAGCTCACGGTACATAGCAATCAGGACAAGGAGCGTGGGTCAGGTGCTTTCCTTCAGTGAATGTCTTTTGTTCTTTCTTTCTTCCTTCCTTTCTTTCTTTTCACTTATATGTATATGGGAGGCAGAGGTGGGTAGATCTCCAAGTTCAAGGCCATCCTAGTCTACTGTCCATACCAGCCAGGGCTACACAGTGAGAGACCCTGTTTCCAAAAAAAAAAAAAAAAGTGTGAGCTGGGTGGTGATGGGCACACTTTTACTCCAAGCACAGAGGCAGAGGCAGAGGCAGGTGGGTCTCGGTGAGTTCAAGCCTAGCCTGGTCTACAACGCTACACAGAGAAACACTGTATCAGGAAAAAAAGGGGGGTATGTATTATGTATGTCTCTGTATGTGGGTGTATGCACAGGAGCACAGGTACCCATGGAGGCCTGAGGATTCAGAGCCCCTGAAGCTGGGTGGAGTTACAGTCAGCTGTAAGCTGCCTGATGTGGGTATTGGGAACCATACTCAGGTTCTCAAGAAAAGCCATAAAAACTCTGAGTTGCTGAGCCATCTCTCCAGCCCCAGGCCCTCCAACATTTGATTTTAGTGTTTGAAATACAATGTGTAGATAGATAGATAGATAGATAGATAGATAGATAGATAGATAGATAGACAGACCATAGTCAGTCCCTGGCTGTTTCTGAACTCATTTTGCAGAACTCATAGAGATCTGCCTATCTCTGCCTCCCAAGTGCTGGAATTAAAGGTGTGTGCCACTACACTCAGCTTGAAATGCAAAATATTTTTAGGATTAATAAAATAAAATACTTATAGAGTAAAGTTTTAAGCCAATTAGTAAGCATTAATATAGGCTGAGGATACAGCTAAATGGTAGAATGTTTGCCAAGCATACACAAGTCTGGGTTTGCTTCCTAATATTGCAAATTTATTATTATTGTTGTTGTTGTTGTTATAGCCAAACATTTGAAATGTATCTTTTTATTCTACTATAAACTACTGTGAGAATACATGTTTAAGAAAAATAATCTAGAGGCTCTCAAGATGACTCAGTGGATAAAGGCATTTGCCAACAAGCCTGATAACCTGGGTTGAACCCTAAGTCCCACATAGTGGAAGGAGAAAACAGACTCCCTAAGGGTGTCCTCTGACCTCTACATGTGCACAGACACATACACATGCACACACATAAAGTTTAAAAAAATTAAATAAAGAAAAAAGATGATAACCTAATGCTGGGGAGATGGCTCAGGGTTACACAAGCTTGATGGCCTAGGTTTGGACAGCTAGCATCTTCCTAACAGCTAGATGTGGCTGTGTTCCCAGGAACCCCAGTGCCGGGGAGTAGGGGACAGCTGAGTCTCCAGGACTTGCTGGCCAACCAATCCAAGCAAAATTGCAAGTGCCAAGAGAGACACTAAAGTGGAAAATGGCAGAGAGATATACCCCAAACTCAACTCTGGCCTCTACATGTTCACACACAGGCAAGTGAGCCCATGCATACGCACACAGACCACACACGCCAATAAGAATTCAAATAAGGGGGCTGGAGAGATAGTTCAGTAGTCAAGGGCACTAGTTGCTCTTCCAGAGGACCCAGGTTCAATTCCCAGGTCACGATTGCCTGTAATTCCAGTTCCAAGGAATCTAACGCCTTCTTCTGGCCTCCACAGCATCAGACATGCACAGAATCCACAGACATATATGCAGGCAAAACAAGCATGCACATAAGATAAATTAATAATGATTTTTTGAAAATAATAAAAGTAAGAATAAAAACCTAAAGAGAACACTAACATGACAGAAGCCCATCGTACATTGGAAACAAAGTGATGTTATTTGCTCTCTTCCTTTTGTTGTTTTAAAGAGTGAGCTTGAACACAGTGATTAACGGTCATTACCGACTAGCGGAAAGATTTCTGAGCAGATTTTTCCAGGGGCTGAAACGCTTGTCTCTGGCTTCGTGACATCAGTCGGGAAACAACAGGGAGATGATTGGAAGCCAGACCCTGAAACTTTCCACTAATGTCTCCTTTCTGATGGAGACTTTGGAATCAGCTGTCATGCTGCGTGCTGTTGGCAGGAACAGCCAGAGACCGTCTGGAAAGATTCCATTGTCTTTGTTCTCCGAGACACTGTGAGACTTCTAAGGCACTGAGTTGGGCCCTGGCCTGTTCATTTCCCCACCGCCACCTCATCCCACCGGCTCAGAAAGCACTTTGAGTAGTTCTGAACTGGCCATCTTTTCTTCCTTTTACTCTTCTTGGCAGAGAGTTGTGACATTCCTAGCGTTCCATGTAATCATGGCCAAGTGGCCTCACCTATCTTTGACTCGGTTTCCTAATTTGTGAGAATTTTAATGTTCCCTATGTCTTAGGTTGTTTATGTGGACTCATGTTTAAATGTAGGTAGAACCAGGGCCTATGCATGTGATCTGCCACTGAGCCACACTGACAACTCTAGGAACAACTTGGAATGCCCCAAGGTAAGCTAGCATCAGAGGACGCTGAGAGAGAGAAGAGTCTCAGCTCCCATGCATAGAATATCCCTTGGATGTTTATGGGCCTGGTTTACAGCAGATGCTTCACAGAAGTCATCCCAAGTGCGTGTGATGGCATGTGCCTGAAATTCCAGCGTTTGGGACACTGAGATAGGCAGGAAGAATAAAGAGTTGGAGGCCAGCCTGGGCACAAAGCAAGAGCCTGTCAGGAGAGAGAGGTAGGGGAGGCAGGAAAGGACCAGTCTTGCAGTTCTGACTGTTGGATGAAGCTAAGGATCGTTTTAATTAGTGTTTCCTCTTCTTTGGCTGGTTGGGACCAATCTCATTCGTTCACTCTGTGTCTTCTTTCCTTTTAACTTACTCTCTTTTGTTATTGTTGTTTAATTTGTACTTTTTCACTTATTGTGTCTGTGTGCTTGTATGTACTTGTACCATCACACTGGTGTAGAGGTCAGTGGATGACTTGCAGGAGTCTCTGCTTCTACCATATGGGTTCTGGGGATTGAACTCAGGTTGACAGGCTTGGTGGCAGTACTCACTGAACCATCTTGCCAGTCCTTCATGTTTTCTAGGCATGTGAGAGGCCAGGTGCACGTAGGTAACCGCCGAGCCAAGCCAAGTAAGGCCATAACCATACATGGATCATCCCTGACATGCCCTTGCAAATCTGACTGATATATCTGTGTCCCTGACTCTTCCCCAGATGTCAGAGCTGGAGCTGACTCTTCAGGCATCCGGGCAAAATGGCGCTGGGACCCGAGAAGTGTTCCTGGTCCTTGTTTCCAACACAAGTGTTCTTGTGAAGCTCCAGGCCCCGGAAATCCCACTGCACCTGGCCTACGTGAGTGTGTGACCCCTAACCCTAGGCCAGCTGTGGAAAGCTCCTGCCCAATATCCCTCTCTGTGAGACAGAGCCTGATGTTCAGATGGCCATGCCTTGAATTCCACAGCCCTGATATAGAACACCCAGGGATGAATAGGACCTGGAACAAGAGTCTGGACCAGAAAGTGGATGGTTGCAGCAGTTCAGAACACCACAAAGGCAGGCGGGGTGGGGTAGGGACAGAACTAGAGGTAGGCTCAGAGGAGGTGGAGGTGGGCAGTAGAGGTGAAGACCCTCTCACAGATGGACACAGACCAGCATGGTGGACAGTGTGGAAAATCTCCCAAGTCCAACCACAAAGGTCCAGCTTCTCTTCCCAGAATGCCCTTCCCCTTATCACAGAGTGGGAAGAATCAAGTCAATCACTGAATGACACTTGAAACACAAATGCACTGGCTGGTTGCTGCAGTGGCCCATTCTAGCTAGATTGCATCTTCTTACTTGAACATTCAAAGCCAGAGCCTTGAATCACCACCCACAGGCCAGAAGTCTGCCTTCTGTCCAGCCACAAGCCAGGAGACTGACAAACACTACACTCTTGAGTCACTACTATAACCCTATTTTTACTGAGGTTAATACCTGCAGAGCAGGCAGTGTGCTGCATTAACCCCCCTCTGGCTGTCAGTCTTCCTTAGTATCTAGCCTGAAGCCCTTCTGCTGCTGTAACTTCAGCTCAAAGGAACTCAGAGTCTATGGCTCTGCTTCCTCTAAACCCTCCTCTCCCCTGGGTCACTTCCTCCAGGTAGTCTTCGTTTCTTTTCCTAGCCCACCAGAGCCCAGGGAGGCAGCAAGGTCACGGATCCACCCGGATCTCCCATCCCCAGCTGGCCAGAGGACTGGGCTTTGTTCTCATTTCTTTTTAGATTTTATTTTATTTTATGTGTCTGAGTGTTTTGTGTGCCTGTGTGTCTGTGCACCACACGTGTTTCCTTGTTCCTGCCGAAGCCAGGAAAATGTTGAATTACCTAGGACTGTAGTTACAGATGGTTGTGAGTCTCCATGTGGGTGCTGGGAATGAATCTGGGCCTTGTGGAAGAGCAGTCAGGCCTCTTAAACACTGAACCCTTTTTTTTTTTTTTTTTTTTTTTTTTTTTTGATGTTGTTGCTGCTTATTAAATGAAGTTTTCTGCCTTCTATTACTTCAGATAATGATGTCTATCTAGTTTCTGAATGGTGATATTCCCAGGGGAGGTACCACCCCATTTGTCTTTCAACCATTGGTTATTTTTCATGCTTGTCTTCTCTTTCCCTTCCATTCCCCCCTTCTCCATGCATTGGGAGCACCTATCATGTGGCAGGCGTCAAAGTGCAGTTAGTACAACAGGGTCCCCAGTGAACAGAGACTCGGTGCCTGCAGGTGTCAAGTGCTGTGTGGGATGGGCACTGAGATTCCTCTCACTTACCCTCAGAGTGTGGAGGGTCACGGGCTACATGATGCCGTTGTATATGAGTGCCTGGTGGTGACAGATGGACAGACAAATGCGTACCTCCGCGTAGCTCTTGTGTGCAGAGGGGAGACAGATATGGCTATGCTATAAGAGGTACCTGGGGACACTTGAACCTTGTCATTCTTGGTTCTGATATTTTCTCTGCCAATTAACTGAGCTGACTCCCCAAAATGGTTCCTGACCTGCACAGTCAGAAGGGGCTCAGCACTCTATGTCTCCACAGGACTCCAAAGTGATCATCTTTAAGGAGAAGCCAGAAGTCGTCAACACCACAGCAGTGTCATCTGCCACATCCAGGAAGCAGATCCTTGACTGGGCAGCCAAAAAGAGCGCCATCACCTCGATGGCAACACTGGTTGACCCCAAAAGCATCATCCTCCGGCTGGGCCAAGGTCAGCTTCCTTAGTTGCCTCTGGGCTCAGTTTCAATTGCAAAGGAAACTGAGAAACTCAGCTCACAGTGGCGTATGATTTGCCCAAGTCACACATGGCGGGATGGTACCTTTTACAGCTAGTGACTGCTTCTCCATCAGGTGTCAGATGAGAAATGCTGGATTTTCTTCTTGACCTTGAAAATCCCAGTACAAGAGGCTGGAGATGGGGCACAGTTAGTAGTGTGCTGGCATAGCATTAAACCCTGGACTCCATCTTCAGTGATACAGACTGAACATAGTGGCATAGATCTGGAATCCAAACACTCAGGAAGTGGAGACAGGAATTCAGGGTCATCCTCTGCAAGTTCAAGGCTAGCCTGGGCTACATGAGAGGGGGGGCTCAGTGTGTAATGATTGCTACACAAGCATGAGCACCTAGATTGGGACCTGCCACCCCCATGTGTAAAGCTGTCATGGTGATATACACATCTAACCCCCAAACTGGAGAGGCAGAGACAGGATGGTTCCTGGGGCTTGCTGGCCAGCCAGTCTAGCCAAATCAGTGAGCTCCAATGAGAACAATTAAGGGAAACAGACCCCTGATGTGTGATGAGCCGGGTGGTGGGGAGAGGGGCGAGGAGACTACATACACACCCTTGACACGTGCTACTGGCTCAGTCTTATGTTAATCCTGTATTAAGGCTGGTCACTTAGCAGTAAGTCCCCTCACCTGTGAGGCCCTCTCCCGAATGTCCCCACAATTGCCTCTGGCTGAAGGTGGGGTAGGCTCTCTGATACACTTGTCTCCACAGCCCCAAAGGCACCACCCTACTGCTTGGCAGAGGCCCATCAGGACATGGGCCTCACACTCGAATGGCAACCTCTAGGCCCCACCCCAGTTCAAGGCTGCTCCCTAGAAGGTGTGACTGGCCACAAGGAGGCATATATCCTGAGGATCCTGCCAGGTTCTGGAACCAGGTAAGGGTGCTGACCTCCTGGGGCATGGCCCTTCCTAATCAATCAGATCATATCCTCCTGATGTAACAGTTACTTTTCTACTGCTGTGATAGAACACCATGACCAAGGCAGTGTGTAGAGAGCTTATTTGGGCTTACAGTTCCAGGGGGTCACAGTTCATGTCAGCAGAATGGAGGCCTCAGGAAGCTGAGAGCCTCATCTTGAACCACAAGCAGGAGGCAGAGAGCACACACACAGCCCACCCTAGTGTCCTATGTTCTCCAGCACTTTCCCAAACAGCACCACCAGCTCTGTCCCCACACTCAACCCTATACTATCTGCACTGACCACTTCTCTACCTGCTGCAGGCCCCAGACAGTGACCGTAAACGTGGAACTGAGTTGTGAATCTGGGGATCCCGACGCCATTCTCATCCTGCAGGGTCCTCCATATGTGTCTTGGTTCATCAATGCCAACCACAACATGCAGCTCTGGGTGAGCCTTGCACCTCCCCCCTCCCCAGCTGAGATCTTGCACACTGTGGTCATTCCACCTCAACTTGCTTTTTTGTTTTGTTTTGTTTTTCGAGACAAGGTTTCTTTGTGTAGCCTTGTTTGCCTTGGAACTCACTCTGTAGACCAGGCTGGCCTTGAACTCATAGAGATCCGCCTGCCTCTGCCTCCCAAGTGGTGGGATTAAAGGCATGTGCCACCATCACTGGCCTACCCCAACTTTCTATCTCTGTCTAATACCTGTTTTCCTTCTGTCATTAATTTAGAGACCCCTTCCTCCAGGAAGCTTTTCTAAATGGGCCGAGGAGTTCCTTAACCTAGCCTGCTGGGCCAAGGACAAACAGGAAAAAGGAGATGAGGGGGATGGGTGGCCAGGAAGGTAGGCAAAGAAGGAGTCATCACAGCTGATAGTCCCTGCTACCCTTTCCTGCCTTCAGACCACAGGTGAATACTCCATCAAGATCTTTCCAGAAAAGAGCATCAAAGGTTTCGTGCTTCCAGACACACCCCAAGGCCTGATAGGGGAGGCCCGCAAGCTCAATGCCAGCACTGTAGCATCCTTTGTAGAGCTGCCTCTGGCCAATGACGTCTCGCTGAGGGCCTCTAGCTGTGGTGAGCCCCAGCCCCGTGACCCTGTCCTCCCTTCTGTTGCTCCCCCAGATCACTTGCCACACTATTTTTGAGCTTGTGCCACCTTCTCAGCCTCACTGGCCTCATCAGCCACATAAGGACAATGAGTGGTTAGCCCATAGTGAGCACTCGGTGACCGTCCACTCTACCCACCTCTGGCCCCACAGGTGGTGTGCCACGGACCTCACCTGCACCAGTTCTGACCATATCTCCCAAGGACAGGTGCAACTCTGGGCTACTCATGTCCCTGATCCAGCCAAAGTGTGGCAATGACATCATGACTCTGGAACTCAGTAAAAAACATGTGCAGGTAAGTGAATCCCTGCCCCTCCCTCCTTCTTAAATAGGGCAAGTCTCATCCCTCGGCAAGTCTCAGTTTTCTCATTTGTAAGATGCAGTTTGGGCCTAGCACAGAACCATCACATGTATCCCCAGAACCCAGGAGGTTGAGCCAGGAGGATGGTGAATTCCAGACTAGACTAGGGTACATGGAAGGTCCATATTGGAAAATAAGGGTTCAAGGTCTTCCTCAGCTACATGGGGAGTTTGAAAATAGCCTAAGCTACGTGAGCCCTGATCTCAAAACACCAGTGATAATAATACCAATATTAGGTAGCCTTTATTGATCTTAATGCTGGCTGAGCCAGATGGTCACAGAAAAATGGGGTTGGGGAGGGTGGATGAATCCAATGAGATGGCCCAGTAGATAAAACATTTGCCTGCTAACCTGGGTTCAATTCCTGGGACTCACATAAAGGTGGAAAGAGATGACCAACTCCACCAAGTTGTGCTCTGACATCCACATATGTACCCCACCCACGTCACACACTCAATAATAATAATTTAATTTTAAAAAGTAAAGTGTAGTGCAATATTGGAAGATGTCTGATGCCTGATTTCAGACTCTGGCCTCTCCACACATGTGCCCCTCTGTGCAGGTGTACATACAATTGATACACACACACTCAGAATACAGACTGCATGCATAAATTTTAAATGCATACTTTTTAGAATATAGCAGTTAGAATGGGAACTATATGTACACAAACATTTTCACTGTGTCGCCCTGGCTGTCCTGGAACTCACTATGTACAGCAGACCTGCCTGTCTTCTGGGTGCTGGGATTCAAGGTTGTGCCACCACTCCTGGCAGAGTGGAGAAAATCTTCATTTTCCCTTCTGATGACATTGTGTTGCCTGCCTTCCTTCCTTCCATCCCTCCTCCCTTTCTTTCTTTTCTTTGGTGTTTTCTTTTTTCATTGTTGTCTTTCCCAGACAAGATCTCATATAGCCCAGACTAGCCTTGAGCTCACTACCTAACGGAAGATGACCTTGAACTTCGGATCCTCATGCCTGTACCTTGCTTGTGCTGTAGGTTGCTTGGAAGCCTTTTCTCTGTGTCTTGCACAGGGTAACCACAGCAGGTGCCCTATACCCTATGTTTCTGATCCTTTTACACATTTGGAAGCTGTCCTTAATGCCACAGTATCAGCCTTGCTAGTGGCCCGCTGTCCTGATTCCTCCCCGGTGCTCGGCAGTAGACCACATCCAGTTCTGCACTATTGTAAACCCAGGTGTCCTAGTGAGTTGAAGCTGTGTGTAGATGCCTCTCTGGGTGGTTACTCTGGGATTGCAGTTTGGAGCCTGATATTTTCATGCCAACAGGTTTCCAGAACATGATTTACTCTTCAGAGCACTTTACAAGAAATCCTCTGCTAATGTGAGAGGGGAACATGGGTATTCGGTTATTGTTCCCAACTGTTTCTGTGGCTTGGTGTGTCTCTTGATTTGCGTATTGATTTTAAATTTTTATTTTTATTTACTTTTGAGGCATAGTCTTGCTTAGCCCAGGTTGGCCTTTCACTTGCTATGTGGCCACATAGCTGACCTCGCTTCCATTATACTATATTATATATAGTGTCCTGTGTGCATATAACTAACTCTGCAGGCCAGAAGAGGGCACCAGATCTCATTCAGATGGTTGTGAGCCACCATGTGGTTGCTGGGAACTGAACTCAGGACCTCTGGAAGAGCAGCCAGTATTCTTAACCTCTGAGCCATCTCTCCAGACCCTCCAATTTGCTTCTGACCAAACAAAAACATGCTATGTGCTCATTCTTCCTTTTGTTTAGTTTTCTACATTTTTACTCCAATTTCTCGCCTCTCCCACCCCTCCCAGTGCTGGGGATGGAACCCACCTGGGGTCATGAAAAGGTCTCAAGTCTGCACTCTACTACTGAGCTGTGTCCCCAGCCCCACTACAATGGGGTTAATGTGCTTTTTTGTTTTGGAAGTCAGTATATGGCTTTGTATGCATGTTGGTATGGAACTTGCTGTGTGGACCAGACTGCCTCTGTCTTCTAAGAATTAAAGACATTCAGGTTTGAAGGTTTAGCTTAGGGGGAGAGTGCTGGCAAAGTCCTGGGTTGGTCCTTAGCTCCCTGGATTGGGGGTGAGTAGGATGGATAATAAAAAGACCCACCCCAAAAAAACAATCCAAGGTAATGTAATGGGCACACATAACCTTAATCCTAGCCCACAGGAGGCAGAAGCAGTTGAATCTTTGTGAGTTCAAGACCAGCCTGTCTTACAAAGCGAATTTCTAGACAATTAAGGCTACAAAAAAAAAAAAAAAAAAAAAAAAAAAAAAAACTCAAGGGTGTGGGAGTGGAAAAGTGCCTTGGTCCTGCCTCAATGAGATGATGGGACAGACTTAGTAGACTTCCTAGGGGAAGCCTTACCCTCTCCAAGGAACATATGGGGGGGGGAAGTGGGGGGGTACAGGAGGAGAGGAGAGAGGGGGAATTGGAATGTAAAATAAAAGTTAATAATAATATAAAGATCCTGTCTCAAATAAAACCAAAACAACAACAGCAAGATTAAAGACAGCTAGGTGGTGACATATGTTTTAAATCCCAGAACCATCATGCCAGAGCTATTTTTAATTTTTTTTTGAATAAAATTTTCGAGCATTTTAAAAAATGTATATGGGTGTTTTACCTCCATGAGTTTGTGCGTCACATGCGTGCAAAGCCCACGGAGACAGGAAGAGGGCACTGGATTCCATGGAACCAGAGTTACAGATGGCTATGTACTGCTGTGTGTGTGCCAAGCACTGAACCAGATTCTATAAAAGAATAGCCAGTGCTCTTAACCACTAAGCTCTCTCCAGCCTCAATGGGTAGTTCTTAACAGTGTTTTGGTTGTGACAGCAAGGCCAAAGGAAGTCCAGGGCCTCCTAACGGTGCCTTTGCCCTTGAACCAGACTCTGCAGTGCACCATCACAGGCCTGACTTTCTGGGACCCCAGCTGCCAGGCCGAAGACAGTGATGGCCACCTTGTCTTGCGTAGCACCTACTCCAGCTGTGGCATGAAAGTGACAGAACATGTGATCAGCAATGAGGTACGGCCTAGGGCCTGGAAGGTATTGGAGCCAGCAGTATTGGTGCCTTTTCGGGTCCCTCGTTGATCCTCAGGGTTGAGGGAGTAACGTTTAGTAGGAGCTGAAGCATGGACCTTGCTTAGCTCAGCCTTCCAATGCCCAATAAGGGTCTGAGAGGTGGGACACCCTCTGCGGCCTCTCTGGCTCTGGCCAGCTTCTTGCCTCTGTCTTTGCAGGTGATCATCAGTTTCCTGTCAAGCTCACTACCGCTCCAGGTGAGATGGACAGTCCTACCATGAGCCTATCCTGTTTCCAGTGCTGTGCAAAGGCTGTAGTGCTGCTAAGGGCTATACTTTCAACTTCTTAAATCCAGGAGTCTAGGGCTGGAGAGATGGTTCAGAGGTTAAGAGCACTGGCTGCTGTTCCAGCAACCACAACCATCTGTAATGAGATCTGCTTCCCTCTTCTGGCCTGCAGGAGTACAGGCAGGCAGAACAGTATATACTTAAAAAACAAAAACAAAACCAACTTCCAAGAGTCTACACCTGGGTGACCTAGGGCTCAAAGGTCATAAGGTCATTAACTGGCATAGGAGTCTTAGGAGCAGCCACAGAGATGTAAATTTTTTTCCCCATTAGCCAAGTGCCAATACAATAAATACAAGTTTATTTAAAAGGTAAGGATGGGGGATCAGGCAATTCCTACCACCCCTGCCAAACTGTCTCCCTCATGCCCTCCCATAGAAAAAAGTGCAGTGCGTCGACATGGACAGCTTCTCCTTCCAGCTGGGCCTCTACCTCAGCCCACACTTCCTCCAGGCATCCAGCATCATCGAGCTGGGCCAGCAAGGCTTTGTGCAGGTATGGATGCCCCGCTTGAACCCATGTGCCTTTCTTCCCAACACTGTTAGAGGAAAGATGAAATCTCACCTTCCAGACGGGGTGAGGGCCAGCCTGGGTGTATGGAAAAGACAGGTAGAAAATTGCAAATAGGAATTGTCACATGTCCTTCCTGTTTGCTCCTGCGTCCCCTGCTCGTCTTCTATTCTTCTAGCTGATTTCAAGAGAAGCCAGTGAAGGGTCAAGGGTATCTGCACATACCGCATGCCCCTTACCTCTCTGTGCAGGTGAGCATGTCCCCATCAACCTCTGAGGTCATAGTCCAGCTAGAGAGCTGCCATCTGGATTTGGGGCCTGAAAGGGACATGGTGGAACTCATCCAGAGCCGAGCAGCCAAGGGCAGCTGTGTGAGCTTGCTGTCCCCAAGCCCTGAAGGTGACCCACGCTTCAGCTTTCTCCTCCATGTCTACACGGTGTCCACACCCACAGCTGGCACCCTCAGCTGCAACGTGGCTCTGCAGCCTAGCACCTTGTCCCAGGTGAGTAGGCATGGCCCAGGTCTAGTTTCAAGGTGGCCTATGGGTCTGGGGTTTGCAGATAGAGAGGGTTAGTGCAATGAGATCTATATAGCTAGTGGCCAGCAGAACGAGAGCCAGGCATGAGGCTTGACAGCCTGGCTATAGGGAGCAGTCACGGCTAGCCTGACTGAATTTGTGGCATTAGAACAGATATACAGCTGCAACTGTCCATCCATCCGTTTATCCTCTGCATATTTAACCATCCTTCTGTCATTTATCTACCCACCCACCGGGAGCACAATTCAGACATGTACCCACCCACGCACCCATCCCTCCACCAACCTATCTATTTATGTACTCTACCTAACTACCCATCCACCTACCTACCTACCCATCCCTTTACCCACCCTTCCCTCCACCTCCCTCCCCTCCCTCTATCAGCCACCCACCTACCCTTCTATCTACTCATGCACCAACCCTAAATATACATCCATCATTCTCAGCACTTCCCACCTAGTCACTCACTTCCAATGTCCCACACACCCTGCAGCGATCACCAGTGTGCCCTATCTCAATGAACCAGACAGCTTAGGGAAAAATAACAGGAAAGCATGCCACTCTGCTTTGCTGGTATCAGCATGGTATCGTCCAGTAAGTCTCTATTCTCAGGCCCTCAGGCCTAACACACTCACAAGAACACTCCAGCTGTCTGCACAGAGATTTCTCTCCTGAAGCTGGGCCACCAGAAGGCTGCACCTTCCAGGCCCTGAGCCTCCAGCCTGTGAAATGGGCCTCCAGGATAGCCTGGCTTGTGGCTCACGGCTTGCACAGGGTAACAGATGCGGAGTTCTCTCTAAACACATGGATACAGAGCACCATGCACAGCAGCCGCAGACCACCTTGCTGCTCTCCCATGCCACATGCCCACTAGGATTTGCTCACAGGCTCCCAGTGGTGGACATAGGACTCAGCCAAGGCTTGGAATGGTGGCAAAGTCAGTCAGGGAGAACCACATGCTGCCAGCTGAAGGCTGGCCCACTTAGCTATCTCTCCTCCCTCCTCAGGAAGTCTACAAGACTGTCTCCATGCATCTGAACATCGTCAGCTCTGACCTGTCTGGTGAGTAAAGAACGCTGGACAGTGGAGGGGCAGAGCCCAGACACTGGTAGAAAATGGGACAGGGCAGCCCTTGGAGGAGGTTTCTCAGGTCCAGCAGCCAGAGGAGCTCACAGTAAGATCATCTTAATAGAGGGGCTGAGTGCCGCGGGACAGCTCTCCTCATCTCAGCTCCCCTCACCCCCCAAGCCCCATCTCTGTCCCCTAGTCACTGGTACACCTTGCTGGAGGACTCGACCTCCTGGATGGAACATGAGGCATCTTAGGTGCCTTGACACCCCAAAGGTGGAGGAGGCCCCTCAGCCTGGTTTCTTTGTTTCCCTGTTGCTAGGGGCATATACATGGTGTGTAGGCTAGGACGGCTTGTGTTTGCTCTCAGCCAGGATCAAGAATGCAGGACTCTCAAGCCCCAGAGTAGACAGGAAGCCAGAGAGCAAGGGCCTTGTAGGAGGCAGGGGTGTGAGGGGGGGCTGCAGTAACTGAGCAGCACTAGTCTTAAAAGATGCTCTGGATCATCTGAATCCTGCATAAGCTCACAGACAGTGGGGGCTCACCTAAGGTCACACAGCATGGCGGAGCAGGCCCTTTCGTTCTTTGCATCCACAAGATGTTTCTCCCCTGGCCTTTGGGGACAGAAGGATGGCCCAAAAGGCTTGACCGCCTGGGCCCTCAGCTAAGTACTGTACTGAGCCCACATGCTAGATGGAGAGATGAGTTCAGAGAACTCGCATCACCGACTAAACTGAAAACTAGCATAATCCCTGTGACTCAGGCCAGCATGGCAGGGTGGGGACAGGCCCAGGGCCCAACACAGCAGCAACACAGTTGGCTCTTTGGTCACTGCAGGCAAGGGCCTCCTCCTGCCCGCTGTACTGGGTATCACCTTTGGTGCCTTCCTCATCGGGGCCCTGCTCACAGCCGCACTCTGGTACATCTATTCTCATACACGTGAGTATTCGAGCCCCTGACCCTACCCCTACAGTGAGCACTCAGGGCCCCTCCACTCCACCCTGGGCCATGCTCAGTGAAGCCTGGCAGGGTGGGGGTGGGGAGCCCTGGCTGGGGCCCTGACCTCCACCCCTGCCCACGCCCCTCAGGTGCCCCCAGCAAGCGGGAGCCCGTGGTGGCGGTGGCTGCCCCGGCCTCCTCTGAGAGCAGCAGTACCAACCACAGCATTGGGAGCACCCAGAGCACCCCCTGCTCCACCAGCAGCATGGCGTAGTGCCCAGCCTGGAGCAGCAGGGCCTCCCAGCCAGCCCCTGTCCCGCAGCAGAGACCAAGCAGCCATAAACTGGGAGCCACTGGCCACGAACTGGTCCCAAGAGCCAAACACCTCCACTCAGCCGAGGATGGAGCTTGCCCCCTACACCTGCCCCTCATACCTCCCTCGCAGAGGCTTGTTGCCAGTGGACACTCCAGCCTGAAACACCTTGGGGTCTCCTCGCCCCACTTCACAGAACTATCCAACCCAGGGCCTCTGGGATATGGCTGCCCAGGACTACAGAGAGACACAGCACTGCCCTGTACACCAGCACTGCTGAAGCTTAAGGAGCTGCCTTCAAGCTGGGTCTTGTGCTGGTGAACTGGGCAGGGTGGAGGTGAGAACTCCAGACATGCCAGCCCATGCCAGCCCAGTCCAGAGCCACCTGCATCTGGCCCTAGTGGCCTCCTCACCCGGACTGGCACAATTTTGGTGAGGGAAGAAGCTGAGTGGTGCTCAGCTCAGGAAGGGAGGCCTCAGAAGACGGCAAGGACAGTGGGATAGGGGAGCCCAGCCCCTCCCAGAAGTACCAGAGACCTCCTCCAAGCCCATCCATCGGATGGGAGCAGGAGGGGAGTGGCCAGGCTGCTGGTCCTGGACCAAGCCCTGTATATTCACCAATAAATCAGACATGAAACCAGTGTCCCTTTGGGTTGTACTGGGTAAAGGGGAAGGAACATTATGACACAGAACATGGCTGCATACCCTTGGGCTGGTCTGGTAGCAGATGGCTGGAACACATGTTCAGAGGAAGCCAGTCCCCTCTGCTCCTCACTCATTTGGTGGCCCAACCCTGAGACAGAGGCTACAGAAACCAAACACTAAGCCCAGTCTATAGACTCTGGGGTTTGGGACACAGCTATCCTCATAAGCTCTGGGTTCTAATCCATGTCTCTTTTCTGCAATGGGCCTGTGGACAGCTCCATGGCTCCTGGAAGCCAGCCACCCTTCCTCATCTGTAAGATGGACATACAGCTTCAAAACTCAGTGGGTGAGGTTTGCAAAGCAGTGTCTTCGCATGAGGCAGACAAATATCGGTGCAGTCTTTTCATGACACAAGCTACCTTATGTTATGAAGAAACAGAAATGCTCCTAGGCTTTACCCATTTGCTCCTATACTCCTACAGCTCCAACCAAACACTCTAAATGTCTGATGAGGGAGCTAGGAGAGGTTAGGAATCAATCAAAAGTTTGTCATTTATTTACAAAAAAATAAAAAAGGGTTTAGAAGCTTCAATTAGTTCTAGCAACCCACAGTCCCCCAATGCCCAGGCAAGGGCCCTTTCTCTTCCTAGAAGGCACCAGGAGGGAGGAGGAAGTCTCTGGCCTAGTCTCAGTCAGGTCCATAGGCTGCTCAGGCAGCTTGCACATAAGATAGGCCTGAGCCAGAAGGCAGCAGGGTGGGCAGGGAGATGGTTGGGCTAAAAGCCTACAATGGTGAGGACTCTGGGAAGACCCTATTATCTATGACAGAGAACGGAGAGGCCGAGGTGCAGTGCCTCTCACATCCCTACAGTCTACCAAGAGCCTAGGGCCCTGGGCCAGTCTCAGAAAGAATCTGGAAGCAGAAATCAAAAGGCACTGAGTATAAAAGTCTATGGAGAGGCAAGAAGGTGTGGGAAGATCCCACCTCTGACCCTACGCCTTGGCTACTGGGACAGGGAGGGTTCCAGCAGCTTTAGGACTCCGCCCACCAGATGCAGGCTTCCTGTAACCAGTACATGGATGGCAGCAGCTTCCCGGAGAATGCTTGCCCCGTTGCTGGCCGTGGGGTGGCTGAGTAGGCTCCTTGGAGGGCTTGGGAGCTGAAAGATGGGATCCCGGCCTTGGCTGATCCACTGCAAGGCATGGGAGATGCAACTAAAAACAAGGGAGTTGGTGCTAGTAGAGTGAGGCGGGTGCAGTGCCAGCGGCAGGGAGCCTGGCCTGCCAGGCTCTGGGCTGGGGCTGCACAGGAGGTCAGGACTGGCTTGTCTCTCACTCAGGCAGCTCCAATGTTGCTGGTGTTGGAGGCAGCGGAGCAGCACCTGATCCAGAGTCACTGTGAAGTTCTGCTGGTCTGTGATGTCCAGGACAAGGCGTATCAGTGGAGGGGAGAGGGAAAGGGGCTGGCCCACAGTGAGCACTTGCATAGCACCTGGCCCTTTATAAGCACCACTTCACCAGACTCTGCTGGCTGCCCCCACAGTGGACAGGGACCAGTGCAACTTGCTCCATGTCATGAAAAGCAGAGCCTGGTGCCCCATCTCCACAACCCCCATGCTCATCTCTACAAAGTGTTCAGCTGGGGTTCCCTCACCAGGTGGGCATGAAAATACAGATCTCAGAGCTCTCCACACACGGTCCAAGGTGAGACCTGGACATCTATCTGCATGCTTCCCATTCCTTCAAAAAGTTTTAAACACAATGCAGTATAGTACAAAGAGCATTTTAGGAGCCAGTGAGATGGCTTAGTGTACAGCCTATAACCGACACGGTGAAAGGAGAGAAATGACTCTCCCAAGCTGTCCTCTGGCCTCCACTCAGTGCCCCAACCCCAACTAAATAAATAAACAAGTAAGTGTAATTAAAATAACTTTTAGGGCCAGAGGGTGGTAGCACGTGAGTTCAAGGCCAGCCTGGTCTACACAGAGACAGCCAGGGCTGTTTCAGAGAAACCCTGTCCTGAAAACAACAACAAAAACCTTTTAAATGCATTTTACATTGCAAGTAGGTACTTGCATTCTTCCATGCATGCCCAGACCTGACTCTTCACCAGGCAGTAGTAACTGCTCATCCTTCAAGCAATGCACAGTGGCATTTTCCATACTCTTGTATTCAATAAATTCCAGTTGAGACCCACTAAGCTGATTTCAATAGCCATTAGTAGACTGTCACCTACCTTTCAAAAAATGTTACACCTGATAATTCCTTTATGGTGTTTTGGCTACATGTCACAAAAGGTCTTTTTTTTTTTTTTTTTCTTCAAAGATTTGTTTATTTATTATGTATATAGTGTTCTGTCTGCATGTATCCCTGCAGGCCAGAAGAGGGCACCAGATCTCATTACAGATGGTTGTGAGCCATCATATGACTGCTGGGAATTGAACTCAGGACCTCTGGAAGAGCAGCCAGTGCTCTTAACCTCTGAGTCATCTCTCCAGGCCCCCAAAGTGGTGTTTCTATAATAAAATCTATACCCTGGGGCTGGAGAGATGGTCCAGTTGTTAAAAACCCTTGCTGCTTGTTCTTGCAGAGAACTTGGGTTCAGTTCCCAATACCCAGAGCCATTTGTAATTCCAGTTTTAGGGGATCTAATGACCTCTTATGGCTTCTACAAGAGTCAGGTACTCAGACATACACTTGCAGGCACTCTGACATATGCATACAATAAAAATAAATCTTTTAAAAAATGCTATCTTCTAGCATGGTTTGGAAGGGTCCATTCCTCACTGAGTAGTCTACCTTGGGCCCTCAGCATCAGCCATACCATACCATCTGTTACCCTCACCTGCGTTTTCTGTGGATGAAACCTCCGTCACGTTGGGGCAAAAGACGGCATAGTCGAACTGGCAGGGCTAGGAGGCCAAGGGGAGATGTGGTGTCAGTCTTCTGAAAGAGTATCCTTCCTCATCCCCACCTGACTTCCGAATATTGTTCCAGGCCCACATCTCCAGAGACACTGACCATCCCTGAACTAGTGGCATTGCAGTAACCAGCCACAGGCCTTCTGTACCCTCACCCCCATTTGCCTCGGTGTACTCCTCCTGGCTTGTAGCTTGCACTGCGTATTGTACTAAGTACTTGCCTAAGCATACTGCACTGAATGGAGATTTGGGTGGTACCTATTTAAGGTAGTCTAGTTGGAGAGCAGGCCCCAAACCCAGGCTGGGGTAGTTTCTCGATATGAACCACTTCAGCCTCCTGCGCTGAAATGGGAAATGATCCTAGAAGCCTAGAACACGGTCAGTCTCCCCAAAATGGTCTACAGAGGACAGCCAGGGCTACATAGAGAAACCCTGTCTTGAAAAACAAACAAACAAAACTATGCACAGGGAATGGCACTGTTTTATAGCTGAGAACATCCAAGCCTATCGCACCCACACAGCCAGAATCGCTGCTGTTGGCTGCCCACCCTCCAGGCAGGTCCCTTACCTGCAGCAACTTCAGCAGGGCAGCAGAGTCCCTGTCACCCGTAGAGTTGAAGAGCAAGACATGTACTTCAGGCCCACTACATAGGGAAGAAAAGGGTGGTGTGTACCTTCTACCCTCTTTCCAAGCCTATTCCAGCCATTTCCCCAGATTCTACTCCTTCTAAAACTGGTCCAGCCCTAACACCTTGCATTAGGCGTTGGGTCCCCTGGAACTGAAATTACAGACAGCTGTGAGCCACCATGGAGACACTGGGAACTGAACCTGGGTCCTCTGCAAGAGCAACAAGGGTTCTTAACAAATGAACCATCTCTCCAGCCCCAGGGTATAGATTTTATTATATAAACATCATTTAGTACATTTTAGAATTTGTTCCATGTAGCCACAACACTGTAATAAAAGAATTAGTAAAACATTTTTAAAAAGGTCTGGTTACAGCCCACTGATGAAGTCAGCCCCAATAAGGTCATTCCCCAGGACCCCCAACCCTGCATGCCCAGCCTTGCAAGAGAGCTTACCCACTAGGGAGTTTGCTGCGCTGCAACGACTGGCAATACCAGCGCACGCAGGCCTGCACACTGCTGGTAGTGTGTGCACCATCCAGGTACCAGGTGAGAGGTCCCCGCTGCAATACCTGTGTCCGGCCAGGCCACTCCGTGTCCCGAAGCCCTGGCAAAGGCAAGCAAAACATTGCTCTGGGATCTACAAGGCCTGCAGGCTTCTGGCCCTGTAGGTAGATCCACCCAAAGCCTATTACTATTGCCAGTCCCTGGGTTCCCAGAATGGGATGCCTCGTCATGGGATCTTCCCGGCAACCCTGAGCAGGGGCTGCCATCACACAATCATACATGATTCCCATGTGACAGTCGCAGAGTTCTGAGCTCATATAGCAAGTGAGGGTTGGGTGGGGCTAGAGTGTGTCCTAAGGTCTGTGCCAGGGCTGTCCCTGACAGTAACCCTGGCACACTGGAACTATTCTAATGGGGTCTAACTGTGAGCACCGACTGTAGGCTGAAAGCAGTTTTAAAGGGATGGAAGGAGAGGCAGCCTTACAGCTTGACTACAGGCAGCAGCTACTGCTGACTGACAGTTTGCTCCAGGTCCTCTAGGCCATGGGCTCAGCATCTGACTCAGGTCACATCAGGAACCATCAAAACGGCCCTTGGCAGTGGGTGCTATCATTATCCCATTTGGCAGACAGGAAAACTGAGGCTTCAAAGATTTGTGAACTCTAGACCAGAGAGGAATGCTTACCTTAAGGAACAATCTAGAATTTCCCCAATCCCCAAACAGAACCAAAAGATGCATCTCAAAGGTCACAACAATGCAATGGGGGGCTAAATATACATCTTATGGGAAACAAAGGTATGTGGTGGCCTTGGCTGGGCAGGAAGCTCCAACTTACCATGTCTCATGTGGGAAGTGGGATGGAACACAGGTGCCAGAGGCAGCTGCCACTGCATGCTTGGCCTGGACACCTTCAGCTCCCGGATGTCTGCAGGACATAAGTCTTTGTCTTTAGACCCCTCCAAGGCAGGCTCCATTCACACTGTCCACCTGCCTGCCTGCACTAGCCCACCTACCCTGGTGGTCCTGTTGCTCCAGCCAACAATGGGCCAGCTGCAAGGCTAAGGCTGCATTGGATCGCTGGTGCTCTCCCTCCAGGCCCAGGGTCAGCGGCAGCCCACCCTCCTCCAGGGCTTCTAATGGTGGACACAGGTACAGAGGACACTGTGGAGGGAAAGGGCCACAACCGGTCAACAAACCTGCCACCACTGTCACTTTGTTACAAAACCCTCTAGCCATCCCCCAACCATTGGGGCTGACCAAGACCTGCTCTCAGAACCAGCTGTGCTCGGCACCCCCCACCACATACCCACACTGCACATGAGGACCTGAAGCCTAACAGGAGACACCATCACTCAGGTCAACACATGCCTCCACCACGCCACCAGGCCACCCAATCACTCACTGAGGTCTGCTGGGCTCGATCCCTCAGCACGGCCAGGGGACCTTCTGGCTGTAGCACAGTGAAGGCAGGGACACCAGGCTGCAAACAGGCCAGGCAGAAAGTGACAAGGGATGCTGGGGTCCTCCATCTGCCCCCATTGGTCCCACAGACCTGTGACTGGGCCTGATCTCAACTGAGGCCACCGAGGGGCTTGAGTCACACAGGGAGAGCAATGGGAAGCTGGACTGTGTGTGCAGATGCCAAGGACCTGGTCCTGAGCCAGAACACTGATGGTTCTGCCACAGCCATTCTTTCTGGAGTGCTAAAGGGACAGCCCTGGGCTCCCATGAACATCTGCCCTGGCCTGCTATGGTACCTTGAAGATGCCCCCTTTCTGCCATGCTATTTTCTCCACTGTGTCTCCTAGCAGGCTGGTGTGGTCCATGCCAAGAGATGACACTCCACACACCACTGGCTTTCTGAAAGAGACAAGAAGGTTCCCAGTCCCCTGGTACTGAGCCACCAGGCATAGGCTTTTGGCCGGCTGGCAGGCCGGCCCCAGAAGCTCCCTCACCTGATGATGTTGGTGCAGTCATAAGCCCCGCCAATGCCCACTTCCACCACTGCCAGGTCTACCTGCAGAAGACCAGACAGCATGGCAGAAGAAATGCCCAGATGGCACCTGAAAGCAGGATGCTGCCTTCACTATATTCCCCAAGGACTCAGACACAGGGTCTAGGGAAGACACCCACCTTTTCTTGGAGGAAGACATGGAAGGCCATGAGTGTAAGGAAGCGGAAGTAAGCAGGCATGGAAATGTGGCTGTCATCCTGCACACAGGAACAAGTCAGAGGCCATAGTCCCACATCCCCCACAGTCCCCACTCTGGGGAGATGGGCCAGCCCTCCAACCCCAGCACCTTGAACTCCTCCAGCTGGTGGTAGAGGCGCCAGAAGTGCTTGGTAAAGAGCTCAGGACTGATGGGTTTCCCATCGATGCGAATCCGTTCACGCACCTGCACCAGGTGGGGAGAGCTGCCGAGAGACCTGGGGTCATCGGGACTCCTGCCCGAGCCTCAGGGCCTTTCTTGCCCTGTCAGACTTCTTTCAGAAACAAACAACTGTGTCCCACACATGTTCAAGAAGCCCTCAGGAGTCCGAGCTCCTAGCTAGGGCCTCCTGGACCCTGCCAAGGCCGAGGCCCAGCACCTACCTCAGAACTACTTAGTCTCCAGTCCTAGACTTCTGCCACGCAGTGGTACTACTTACTGCACCGCTCTCATCTAAGGCACACCCCTCCAGGAAGGAGGGAAATGTCCCTGTCCCAGGATGGTCTACCATCTCCTCTGGGCCCCCGAAACCCCAAGCTTCCCCACCGCATATAGATCAATGACTCTGCTAACGTGCGCCTACAACAATCACCTGCCTTTCACTCTTTTTTCTTTTTGGTTTTCGAGACAGAGTTTCTCTGTATTGCTTTGGAGCCTGTCCTGAACTTGCTCTATAGATCAGGCTGGCCTTGAACTCACAGAGATCTGCCTGCCTCTGCCTCCCAAGTGCTGGGATTAAAGGCCTTACCACCAACACCCGGCCTGCCTTTCACTCTTAAAGTAATAAATTCAGAAGGCAGAACCATCAGAGCCATTCCCCTGCCCCATCCACATGCTGAGCTAGAAGCCTCATGGGCCCAAGTCAGTGGCTAGAGGTTTTACTCAGAAAATTATTACTGGGGGCCAGAGACAAGGGCACTTGCTGCCAAGCTTGATGATCTGAGCTCCATGCCAAGAACTCACGTGGTAAAGGAGACACTACTCTACATGCTTCCATGAGGCATATGCACACATACAAGCACATACACACTAATAAAGGTAGTATAAAAGCTATTAAAGCTGGGGGTTAGTGGCAAGGCCTTTAATCCCAGCACTCAGGAAGCAGACGCAGGAGGAACTCTGTGAGTTCGAGACCAGCCTGGTCTACAGAGCTAGTTCCAGGACCGGCTCCAAAGCAGTAAGAGAAACCCTGTCTGAAAAAAACAAAAACAAACAAACAAACAAACAAAAAAGCTACTAGAGTTTTCAAGCTTTTCAAAAGAAAATATTTTCTTTTTATTTAGACTTTTCCTTCTTAAGGTAGGGTCTCATATAGCCAAGGCTGGCCTCCAACTAGCTGAGAATGACCCTAAATCTCTGTTCCTCTACCTCCCAAGGGAAAGATTATACAAGCATGTGCTACCATACTCAGGTCCCAAAAGACTATTCTACTCCATTTTTTTATTTTGAACAAACATCAGTTTAGGAGACGCACACTGACCTGAAATGTCTACAGCCAACTGTTTCTGATGCTTATGGCGATGGCTCGCCAACTGACAGAGTAAATGTAAACCAAAGTTGGATATGCTCCTCCCTCAGGGAACAAACCCAGAAGAGCACAATCAGGTTCAGTCCTCCGAAATGTCACTCTTTTAAGGTGACAGGCTAAACGAGACACACCTCAAGCATAGGACACAGGTTTTACCCCCGATCTGATGTCTGTGTGCCACCACAAGGGGGCGCTGCCTCCAGAGGCAAGCAGCAGCCAAGGCTTGGCAGAACTCTACTGCCAACCTGTGGAAACTTGCCGTGGACGCCATAGGCAGCCTTTATCTGCGCTCCTCTTGCTCCTTACTGCAAAGACATCTTAACTGACTGACAAGCATTTCTACACTACTTACAAACTGTATCTGGAGAACCTGCCATGAGGACCTGAGTTCAGATCCCAGCATTCCCACACTCCCCCAAAAAAGCTGATATAATGAGACTATGACCACACTGCAGGGGAGGCAGAGGTAAGATCCCTGGAGCTGGCTGCTACTTAGTGCTCAACTAGCCAAATCCAGAAGCTCCAGGTTCAGTGAGAGAGACCCAGCCTCAACACACACACACACACACACACACACACACACACACACACACACACACAGAGTGTGTATTCGTGTACAAGCATACTATTTGGGTGAAGTAGCATATGCCTTTAGTCTCAGCTCAGTAGTTAAGGGCACTGCTACTCTTGCAGAAGGCCTGGTTCAATTCCCAGTACCCATATGTGGCTCAAAACCCTCTGTACTACCAGGCACACATACAGGCAGACAGGTAGACAAAATACCTACACACATTTAAAAAAAAATTAAAAAAGCAAAAGCAAAAATTACATTTGAAATTTAACATAATAAAAGATTATCTGACTCTTCCAGCCAAGTATTTAGGTCATACTTCAAGATACTGACACTTTCCCTCCATTTCTCCCATATGAAAACTGATGGCTGTCATTAGTGAACAAATATGGGCACTGTAGATTTAACGTTTGCTGAGTGGATAAACAGTGGCAGAGCGACATACAGGCTGACCTTGACTATGGTACCACAGCCCCCCACAGAGCTAAGGGACCCTCCCCCCAAGAATGCAGTACCTAAAGAAGCCTGTCTTCAGGCCATAATTCCTCAGGATGCGTTCAGTGAAGGCGCAGGTGGAACCCTAGAAAGCATTGGGTAGGGTGAAAGTGATGGTTAATACTGATTGTCAACTTGGCAGCACCTAGAGCCACCCAGGAGACATGTTTCTGGGCAAGTCTGTAAAGGAGTTTCTAGACAGGATTGCCAGAGGCAAGCTGAACACCAGAATCCATTACTTCCTTACTGAGGATGCAATGAGATCTCTTGCCATGATGGATCAGATCCCCCAGGACTTATGACCAAATAACTTCCCCCCACACACACACACACACATGCTGGCCAGTTGTATGTCACCTTCACATAAGCTAGTCATCTGAGAAGAAAGAGCCTCAACTGAGGAAATGCCTCCATAAGTTCAGGCTGTAGGCAAGCCTATGTGGCATTTTCTTAATTAGTAATCGATGGGGGTGGACCCAGCCCATTTTGGGGGGGCCACCCCTGGGCTGGTGATCCTCAGTTCTTTAAGAGGTCAAGTGGAACAAGCCAGTAAGCAGCCCCCTCTATGGCCTCTGCATCAGCTCCTGCCTCCAGGTTCCTGCCCTGCTTGAGTTCCTGCCCTCATGGCTTTTGATGATGAACTATTATATGGAATTGTGAGTGAAATAATCCCTTTCTTCTCAAGTTGCTTTTGGTCATGGTGTTTCATCATAGCAACAGTAACCCTAAAAAGACACCTTAAGTTGCTATTTGGTAGTAGCTTGTAGAAAAGCAACTAATAAAGGTGGACAGGCACCAGCCTACCAAGTGACCTCCTCTTGGATTACTTTTACCTTTCCTTTGGTCCCAGTGACATGGATAATGTTTAACTTGTTCAAGTCCTCCACCTACAACAGACAGAAAGATTCCTTCTTCAGCCACAGGGCTCCCAAGCAGATGGGGTAGGGGTGCTTCACAGGACCTACTACCTTACCTGCAGCCCACTCCGTGTCAAGTACACCTCCATGGCTTCCAGCTGTGCCTGAGGGTCACTCCGTTGGCGCTTTACCTGCTCCAGGTAGTTGGCATTGGTCTGCAGGGTGTTGAGCATGCGAACGGCATCCTGGCAACCATAGTTCTAGTTCAGTGAGAGTCTAAGGACAGAGGTACTCAGCCCACCAGTGGCAAAGCCAGGCCTGTTATAGCAACCCTGCTGCCTTGGTCTACACTTACTTGGTGAGGAGAGAACCCTGGCATATTTCCAGTTCTAGCAAAGATGGAGCCTGGGGCAGGCCAGCCCCACCCGGGAATGTCAGGTAAAGCTGCCAAGATGGACGAACCTTCATTTCCTGGGCTGCCTTTCCAAGCCTCTATGCCTTCAGCCTTCACCTTCACAACCCCTGGGCCTTCCTCCTCATTCATTCTGCCACTATACTGAGCACCCACCGGGCTGGGGCAAAGACCACGACATCTAGGGACTTGGAATTCTAGAATTTCTTAAGACTCTGGAGTTCCACATTCTAACCGTAAGACAAGATGATGAAAGCAATTAGAGCTAGAAGAGGAGATACAGAGGGAGGGAAGATGTGCCCAGGTCATCCAGCCAGAACCCACAGGTGGGTAGAGCCTCAGGAGAGATGGCTTTAGGAATGGGAGTGGGGACAGAAAATAAATGCAGAGGTGTGTGTGTCAATTATATCTACATTCTGAGAAGCCTGTGCTTAGGTAGTTCCCCTCAGGCATCAGACCCGTGTCGCCTGCCCTCTTAGCCTCAAGGCTTGGCTGGGAGCCTCACTGAGCTCAAACCGGTGCCACCTGCCTGGCTAGCATCAAGTTCTGGTCATTGATAACTGACCCTGGCTCAGCAATCTACAGACATATTCTGTTTTCCAGACTCTTGGTCTCTTTATTGCTTCTTTTCCTGCCTGTCTGCCAGCCAATTTTGAACACTTGGATTCCCAGTCTTCGAGTCCCGGAGACCCCAATCCCAGATCCTCCTGGGATTTCCACTCTGGACTCCATAACTTCTTCCCCCTCATCCCTCACTGCCGTGCAGACTCTAGGCTCACTGGAACTTCTAAAGCTCAATTCAGACTCTGGACGCCCTGGTCTATCACCAGCGCCCTTAACCTCTGCAATGCGCGACACACACCCTCAGAATTCCCTGAGCCCAACTTTCCGGTCCCTGTCACCTCCCCTGGACTCCGGGATGTCACCGCCTCCCGAACCCCGCAACTTCAGGCTCAGATGCCGCCATCAGCTGGCTGAGCGCGGAACGCGGCTCCAGTCTAGCCCACGTGTCAGTGCGCGACCATTTGTCCCACCGCGGGTCAGAAACCTGATACTCCATGCCGGGCTCCTGCGGCGCGGGCCACGCGCTCAACCACCGCCGCGCTGCGCCCTCGGTTGTTGCACCACGCGCTGAAACAGCTGCCAGGGACAGAGCCGAGCGCAGGTGGCTCCGCGCCCACGACATAGTCCTGATGCCACTGCAAGCTAGGCCTGGACCGGTGCCGCCCCGCTTCGCCCCGCCCCGCCCCACCCGGCTGACGCGCCTCTGAGATTCACCAATCAGAGTCTATCAAGACCTCTGGACCAATGAGAATCGGCGCCCTATCGCGGCCATCTTTATAAGGGGCAGATCGCAGGGCAGTGAGCCGCTTTCGCCTTGCTTCTGAGGGGCGCACTGCCGGGAAGGGCGGGGTGAGGGTGGGGTTTCGTAGAAGGGACCTTAAAGGGACATTGCGCTCTTTTCGTCGCCATCCTCCAAAGTTCTGCGCCTCAGGTCTTAAGGGCTTTGCTACATATCCCAAAATAGCCATCCCGAGCCAGCAGCCTCAGTCCCTGCTTCAGGCCAGTCCAGCTCTGAGCTGGGATAGAATTACGGAGCTGGCAGACGGTGGTGGTCATCAGTTTCCAGCACCAAAATGTCCTGGCTCAGGCACAGTAGAGATGTGACCTTTGCAGGTCAGGAATCTGAGGCCTCTCACTCTGAGAAACCTAAGAAGACTACTGGGAGGAATGACACCCCCTACCAAGGCCTGCTGGGTGCAGGGGCATTTCCAGGCTAAGAAGAGGACCAGGACCCTGGCAAAGACTTCCACCCCAGTTGCTCCCTGAATGCTCCTTCCTGCATGGCTTTGGGGCCCTATATAAAGTGTGTTAGGGCTGGAGTGGTTAAAGGCACTGACTGTTCTTCCAGAGTACCAAGGTTCTAATTGAGTCAGGGTTCAAGTCCCAGGACAGCTGGGGGTCGGTCGCCCACTTCTGACCTCCAAAAGCATCAGACATGCAGGCATACTCTATAGTGCACAGACGAACAAACAGGCAAAAATACAGAATAATTTTTTGTTTTGTTTTTTTCGAGACAGGGTTTCTCTGTGAAACAGTCTGGTCTGTAGTCTGGTCTGTAGACCAGGCTGGCCTTGAACTGAACTAACTCACAAAGATCCACCTGCCTCTGCCTTCCAAGTGCTGGGATTCAAGGAGTGTGCCACCACCAACTTTTTTTTTTTTTTTTTTTTTTTTTTTTTTTGAGTAAATCTGGCTGGCTAAAATTATAATGGCTTTGGGGTGAGAATGATCTTGATTAGCACTCTGTGAACTCCCTTGAAATAGAGAGTGGATTTGACTGCAATAGGGGGAAGGGACAGTAATCTCACCTAATTGTGTGTGAGAAGGCCCCTCTACTTGTGGAAGGCACTGGAGAGAAAGTGGCTCTTTGAATGGCGATGAGTTTTCAATGCCTTCCACTTTCCTACGTTGGACTTAACAAGAGCAGAGACTGTCTCTTGTTAAATAAACATGTTTGGGGAGGAGTCTGGACTTCTGCTCTCTGAACATGCTGCTGAACTCAAAGTCACAGAGATCTGCTTGGGTTGGCCTCCTGAGTGCTGGGATCAAAGTGTCCAAGTGCATATTTCAGTGAACAGCTTCTCTGGTTCTTGGCCCACTCTCTCTCTCTCTTTTTTCCCCCTATGGGGTTTCAGTCTATAACCCAGGTGGACTTGAGACGCCTTAGCTGGGCCAGGCTAGTCTCAAATTCTCTATGCTGCAAAAGATGACTTTACATTCTTGATCCTCCTGCCTACAGAGCGAGTGAACAAACTTGTGTACCTGGTTTTGTTCTCTGAGGGTAATTTTTGTTTTTGTATTGCTTTGGAGCCAGCCTGTCCTGGAATAGCTTTGTTGACCAGACTGGCTTCCAACTCACAGAGATCCACCTGCCTCTGCCTCCTGAGTGCTAGGACTAAAGGTGTGTGCCACCACTGCCCAGCTTCTGAGGGTGATTTTTTTTAGCTCTGTCAGATCTGTAACAAGTGGTACAGCATCCCAAGGGAGGACTGATGTCTCCAGTGGAGTGAGACAGAAAGCCCCGATTGTCTACGAGCCTGGTTTAGCGAAGTTCCTTCCCCTCTTTTGTTTTCCTTGTTAGGTCAACTGTTGTTTTCTGTTTGTTTGTTTTTGATGTTGCTTGTTTATGACAAGGTCTTACCAGATAGCCTACAGTGGCCTGAAACTCCCTCTGCAGCCCAGGCTTGCCTCTAATTCTCTGTAAATTTTCTGCCTCAGCTTCCCAAGTGCTGGAAATGCATACAAGGTTCAAGGAATGCAGTTGTATGCCATTGTGCTCAACCTAATTTCTTTCTCATTTAATTTACTTTTTATTTTGTGTAGGTGTTTACCTGTATTTGTGTCTGTGCAGCACCTGGTATAGTGCCAGCAGAGGGCAGCACGTATGGGGTGGGGAAGATCCCCTGAATTACAGGGACTTAATGAGCCACCATGGGGTTGCTGGGAATTAAAATGCTCTTAACTGCTGAGCCATCTCTCCAGCCCCAATTTTCATTATCTTTGACATGTCAAAACGATAGAGGGGCTGGGGATTTGGCTAAACATTAGAACATTTACACTGTAGACATCAGCTCTAACTGGAAACAGAAATCAGACATGGAAGACAAAGCACTGACAATCCCATGGATCAAAACTGGCATTATTCCAGTTGCAACACAGAATTGTAAGTGGTATGCCTGGACCTTGAGCATGTCACCCTCTGCCTTGGACCTGAGTATACTCTGCTATCCCCAAGGACAGTTTTCATGATTTTCCATTTGTTTACTATTTTGGGATAGGCCTCATGTATTCCACACTGGCCTCTAAGTCTCCATTGTGTTAAAGCTGCCCTTGAACTCCTGATCCACCTAGAAAGTGCTGGGTTTACAGGCATGCATCACTGTCATATCCACTTTATACAGTGCTAGGGACCATTCCCAAGGCTAAAATACATCAGGCAAACACACTGCCAATGGAGCAATTTCATATTCATAGACCATAATCAACCCTGTACAGGCAACTCTATACCATGCTGCTTCCATGGACCTTTTCCTCCCTGGTGCTAGGGTTGGCACACACACTTGCCAGTCATAGCATGTTTGTGGAGGTCAGGGAACAACTTGCAGTATTGGTTCCCTTCTTCCTCTATGTGGGACCTGGAGATCAAACTGAGGTTGTCAGGTTGGGGGGCAAGTGCCTCAGCCACTGAGCCATCCTGCTCGCCTATCCACAAGGCTTTCTACACAGGATCTTCCAGACTGTGTTGGTATGTAGATGCCCCTGTGACTGATTTGCTTTACTGAGCTGTGGAGTACTCCAGGTGTGAAAATGCTATTGCATCCTTGGCTAGTTTCCTGTGGGCTGTTTCCTGTATTTTGCTGCCCCATGCAATGACATAATGGCATCATTTCCCTTCCTTATTTCTGCCACATGTGAGCAAAACCTAAGACTAAGACATGCAAGGGTGACTTGCAGTACACATGCTCACACTTCCTGCCTTGTGGTGCATAATAGGAGAGGCAGAGCCAGTTTCTCCCTCATACTCTCACATCCCCTGTGCTTGGTGTCAGACTCTTCACAACCTTGTGTGAATCAGAGGCTCCCTCACTCTATAGGTGGAGAAATTGAGGCTCACAGAGATTAATGAGAACACCCAGGAAATAGACTTTCTCCTTGACATCTTTGTCCCTCCTACCACCCGTCTACCTGTCTGCTCCCTGGGCTCCCTCTGCAGTTCCTGGGCTTGCGGTGGGACTCAGGAAAGCTGCCCCTTGCCTCTGATTAGTTTCCTCCAAAAAAGCAAGATGAGGTCTGAGGGAAGAGGTCCAGCTGTCCCTTTGTCACCTGGGTCTCTCTACACCTGGGCTGCTGCCAAGAATAAGGATATTAAAAGTTAACAGGTTTGTGTAGAAGCCTAGCATCCAGAAGTGGGGTGCATCTCTGTACCCCCTGACAGACAAGGATCCTCCATGTTCCAGCATCTACACCAATGACCTACAGGGGCCCCTCCCCTTAAAGAGTTCCACATCCTTGGCAGGCCCCCTTTCTGAGCATCAGAGCCTCACTTCGCCTTTGGCCACTAAGAGTTAATTAAATGATTTGTTGTTACTGTTCTGCTATGAGATAGGATCTCATGTAGCCCAGGCTGGCCTTCAATTCTCTCTAATGTTTCCTGACTCCATCTTGAAGTACTTAGACTATAGACATGCTCCACAATACCTAACTCAAATTTTGGAGGAGGGCAATGAGACTGAAAAAAATAGGCCTCCTTAAAAAAAAATAAATAAATAAAAACAAGCTTTTTATTAGCATATGTTAATTATACATAGTGAGGCCAGGTGGTGGCAGCATACACCTTTGATTCCAGAGCTCAGGAGGTAGAGTCAGGCGGATCTCTGTGAGTTGGAGGCCAACCTGGTCTACAGAGAGAGTTCCAGGACAGGTTCCAAAGCTACACAGAGATACACTGTCTGGAAAAACAAACAAAAAAATTATACATAGTGAGTTTCGCTACAACACCTTCAAACATGTTTATAATGTATTTGATCATATTCGTCCCCATCAGCCTCTCTTGCCCACTTCTAACTCCCCATCCTCTACCCCCTTCTACTCTCATGTCTTTAAATTTTTAAATTATTAGTTTATGTGTTTTGCACGCATGTATGTCTATGTACTGTGGGTGTACCTGGTGCCCAAGGAAATCAGATTCCCTCAACTGTAGTCACAAATGATTGCACTGCCGTGTGGGTGCTGGGATTTGAACCCAGGTCCTCTGGAAGAGCAGCCAGTGCCCTTAACCAGTGAGCCATCTCTCCAGCCCTCACATTTCTGTGTATTTATTTGTTTTTGTAACCCAGTGAGTTTAACTAGGGTTATTTACAGGAACATGGGTGAAGACCAGTTACAGGAGCACAGACAGGCTGCAGCGCTGGAGAGACTGCCTCCATCCCTCAGCAACCATTAACTGAAAGATGGGCTTGCTTTGGCCCCGCAATCATGCCTTCTAGAATGACTGGAGGAAACAACTGGCATATGCTCAGAACCCCTTGTGTTTCCATCTCATGGAGCAGGTGACATGGGTACTATGCCACCTGCTCTTCTTCCTGTCCTAAGGGTACACTTTGCTGGCCTCACTCTCTGTTCTTTGTCATCTAGGGCCTCTCTGCCACACTGGTGTCATATGTCTCAGGTCT